ATTAACAATAATTAATTCATCACAAAAGAATCCCAATTTTTTGATCTGATGAAGAGTAATCAGGAAATGAAAACACTGAGGTCATTTTTATGCCAGATTGTTCCTCATTTTCCTTCATGCCAGTGATTAATCACAATCACTTAGTGTTTGCCATCATTTTGTTTAATCGCCTCATTACATTTTAATCTACACAGTACTCACGCATACACATGCCTTCTGATTACTGCAGAGTACCTTACCTTCCTCCAGTCCTGAGAGTTGGTGGTGCAGTTTATTGATGCCCAGGTCGATTTCCTGTTTGTGCTGCTCCGTTTGAAGCCTCAGGGCTTTTCTTTCTTTCTCCAGCAGCACCACCTTCTTCTCCAGCTCCCCCTCCAAGTCGTCCATTCTCCAGGACCTGTCAGCACCAGCATTGTGTCCAAGATCAGCCAGGCTTTCTGGGCCACCAGACATCTGGCTCTCCTCTGGCCCTGCTGCGGTGCTGCTGTCCGTGTGGTTGTGAGGAAATGGGCTAATGTCCGTCTGCAGAGGAGGGACACAGATGGAAACCGGTTCAGGGTGTGGGTTTTACAGTCTAAAGAAAAGGATGGAAAATATCTGGCTCTTTACCTGCTAAATTCTCAACTATGTTCACCAGCTGGTCTCAAACCGTCTGGGTTTTTTAAGTTTTTTCACCTGCTGTGGCTGAACACGACTCTGAGACCAGTGAGACTGAACCACAACAGTACAGTTGTTGTTCCAGCAGCGAAACAATGAGCTCAAACTCACTATTTAGCTCCGTAAAACCAAGGGGAGCTTTACATGGTCATCTGACACATTGCTAGACTAAAAATATCAATTATAGTCATTTTAAAAACGCTCAAATGGAACTTCAAATGAAAAATAATAAAAATTCCTATTGAAGTGTTTAACAGATGAGGTTTGGGTCTGAAGAGATCTTCAATAAGCTGAGCCATCTCATGTCTTCAGGGATTTACTTTAATTAAGTACAACACAACAAATAATTGAAAGTCAGAAAGGCTACCAAGAGAATGAACCATTACAGTCAGCAACAAACTGCGAGGCGCCGCAGCACGAGGCTTTACAGAAGAAACACCAAACCACAAGGGAAGGGATGTGAGAAATACAGACTCTGCGAGATTTCTGAGATCTCTGTGGTCCATGCATACTACTTATAGTAGGCTGTGGAAATGCACAGTGACCACAAGGGGATTCATATAGAAAATACATACAACAGATAAAAGGCATGCAGAGTGCACAAGGCTCAGAGGAAGATAATAAAATAACGTGTCTTCCTGTGATGAAAACAACGGTGAAAAACCGACTGAAGTGTTAACACATTAATATATTAATCCCCTTGTGGTCACTGTGTATTTCTACTGCATGCTGTAAAGCAACATGCATGATGGATAGAAATGGAAATCCACCATTCACACCATTTGCAACCACATCACTTTGCTTGCATCACATCTGTCAGATGCTGCCGCTACCAGTGCAGCAACAGACAACAGGCAGGGTGTGCAGCAAGGCTGATACAGCAGGGCTAATGAGCGCTGCTGCCTGTGAGTCAGGTTCTGTCCTGACAAGTGGAGACGGGTGGGCACTCTAGGTTTTCTGGTCGAAGGAAAATGTACGGACATCCAGTGACAGGTATTCAGGAGTGCTGGAGGGTACGCATGATGCATGAGCAGCAAAACAATCTGGACAGAACACATACAAGAAGCTGGGGAGGTGATGAATATAACAGTTATTTGACCTGCCTATTCCCAGATGAGTGCTCTTCCTGTGTAATAACCAGAACACATGATCTGATGTACTGCACTGCAGAAGTAGGCCAAGTACCCATCGTTCATTGAAACGTGACTTGAATGGGAAAAGTGGCAGGGAGGGGGCAAGAAAAACACACTGGCTACTAATGAGGTTCACCCCAGACTTGTGACGTCCTTCACACCTTATTACTTCATATGTGCACATTCCTAACTCCTAATCAGTGTAAAACATGGATGGTCACATGCAAGCATTATGGGGTTTTTCCATCTGGCAGTGACATTATAGAACAAAGTGTGCATCATCCACAAAGAAAAGAACCCATAGGTGCATGCCCTACATACACTACCAGAGTGGGGAGCGCTGTCCTGCAGAGAAGCTCTTTTAATCTGGGCTTTCAACAAATACCGGCACCTCATAAATTATGCATACTTCTTTAGCCAGAAATGAGGTTATACATCACTGGATTCTGGTGAGATATGAGCAGGTTTCATGTTAAATCGGCTGTATTCTCTCCACCTCCTCCCCCTGCTGTTGCTCCCTGTTCTCCTACCCATTGTCTCTCCTGTCTTCGCTTTCATGTCTCTTTCTTTCAATTTTATATTTCAAGCTGTTTCCTTGGTATGATAGACTCGTATCAAATCACGTGATCTGGTGGTCATGATGATCAGGGCTTTGCTTCACTACACTGAGTATATCTGGCTGTTTTGGTAACTCACTTCTTCTCATGCAAAATTTAAAACTCTGAAGAACAAATAAATTCACAGATGTCAATTCTGATGCGCCTTATTACATCAAACTAAAATATGAACTCCGTGAATCTTATAATAGAAAGCAGCTTTTTTATGCCTTTAGAAATGTGGGATCAGAGCTCTTTGCTATTACTGTTGTTGTTATTTAGGCCTTGTGGTGCAGCCTGCCTCCACAGTATGTGGAGAGGTGATTTTCTTCACGCTCTGCCTACCTCCAGTTTCTCTATGCGGTCTTTGAGCTGAGTGATCGCCTGTTCCAGTTCATCCACAGCCCTGACATTGAGCAGGTGGACGCTGTCGGGCTCCGACGCCGGGCTGTCCCGCACCATCATCCGCTCCAGGTGCGTCTCCTCCACCGTGCCCTTGCCCCCCAGCAGCCCCGCGGCGCTCCCGCGTCTGTTCGCTCTGCTGCTCTTGCCGTCCAGCCCCTTCTCACACTCGGATAGTTTCCCCGTGAGCTCTCGGATGGTCCGCTGGTCGGTTAATATCTGGTCCCTTTGCTGCAGAACAGTATGCCGAAGCTCCTCCGCGGTGGTGCGGAGATAGCCCCAGTCTTCACCCGCATACAGTGACGGGTCGTCCGCTTGTTGCTGAAAGTTTTTCGGGTTGCACTCACCGGCAGGGATCGGTGTGCAAATCAGGCGACTGACCGCCGGGTCGTGTCCAGTGAGTCCGGTGACCCCGCTAAGCCCGATGTTGAAAGTAGGAGCTTCAGAATCAGGAATTTCAGAACCATGTAGAGCGCCCAACGATCCGGTCCGGGCCATGGAACCCCCGGCAGCGGGGGTCTGCGCCGCTGCGCCCGGATACAGCGAGTGGCTGCTGTTTGCTAGTTGCCGTTGCGCCGCGGCTGCCTTGTTGGATCCGGTGTGAACGGCCGCGATGATGCAGACAACCGCTCCGATGAAGGCCACCATCCCGGCGGCCAAGATAACAACAATGAACTTCAGGGTGGCGGCGGGGAGGACCGATTGTTAGAAAAATCTAATAACAACACTCCGGAGCTACAACACAGGTAAAGCTCCAAAAACAGCGAAAAAAGTATCAGTTGTTTGGCCGCATATAAATGGAACAAGAAATGCCTCCTCACTTTGTTTCCTTCCCACAGGAACAGGCGACTAGAAAACGCGAGTCCCGCACCATAATTGAGTGATCATGGAGTGATGAGCGATCAGAGGCGGTCTGTTACACCCGCTGCTCAGCGCGCATGTCCTCTGCGCTCAGGCGCAATCCAGCCTGCTGTGCGAGGGGGAGACAGGACAGGACGGGCAGAGACCAAGTCAGACATGGACACAGCGGGACAGCTGCACACTTTGTGCACCCTCTTGTAGCGGAACTAACTCTTCCAGTATTTAAACTTACATGATCAAATGTTACTGCTCTCAACACCACATTTTATATTATATGCCATGTTGCAGCACTGACTTCCTGTATGCAGCCTCAAAAACCGGGCACATTTTTTACTTCTCTTTTTTCTTTCACTTTCATTGAAGATGAAATTCTAAACTGGGTCTTTCCGCCATGCATAGCAGCCCATGTCACATTAAAAATCCATTTCCAGGTCATATAGGCGTATTGTAATGTGATGTGCTGATGGCCACAGTCAGCCTCAAGGCTCCAACAGCTCAACGGGGCCAGAGATGAAAGAAAGATGGCCCTGTGGGGATCAGCGTGTGTGTGTGTGTGTGTGGTGCACAGTACAGGCCCCAAGATATTAGTTTCATTAAATCATACTTCAAAGTAAAAATACATGTTAATCTCAGTGTGATGTATAGGCACATAAGGACACGTAATTAAAAATGAACTGACACACACAGTCACACACATACACACAAAGCCAATGGTGTGAGAAAAATCCTCCCAGCATGAGTGTCGGCTCTCCTGTGTATAAAAATCACTGTTTGATGTGCATTCTCAAACAAGTATCAAGGGGGATTGGGCTAAGACTTCTCAAACTTGCAGGCACTGAAAGCTCTGATTTAATATGGGTGAGGGATGAGGCGCGAGACAGCCAACATGTCTGCAGCAGAAAACAGCTCAGGCTCTCAGTCTCCACTGGAACACTGTAGAATAGAGTAGAAGGCTGAGTCCTCCTGCAGAGGTGGGGACCAAGTCAATACAAAGCCATCCCTCCTCAAACATGAGAGCTTCGTTTGGATTCAGCTTATACATTAAATGTCACTACTGGAATTTTTGGCAGTAAGAGTAGCTCCACAGCAGCAGTGTGTGTTCTTATGGCAGTTATTTGTCCCTGTAATGGTCCTAGTGCTGATTGTAGTGACACTCGTGGCTTTAAACCAATTTTGTTTCAGTATTTTATGATAGAAGTGTAAATACTGGGCCTTTTTTACAGGGCCTATACATATCACATAGTGCACACTGGCACTGAATAACCGCTCTGCACTGCAGCCTGGTTCATTTTCAGTCTGCAGAGCTTTGATGACTGTGGGCAGCAAGTATGAGCTCGGTCTATCATCCGTGTCAGAGCTTGACCTTTACGTCAGTACTGTGCTGCTGTTAGAGCTTCGAAGTTAGTCTTTGTGGGAATGTTTTCATTAGGGGAGACTTTCCACGGGATTTCGTCTATCTGAGCACTGGATCAGAAAGTGCTGCCTTGACCATACAAAACACAGCTATTCTTTGTCTTTTGGCATCTTTGTACACAAAGCAGACGTCTTTACTACTCCTCTTGTCTGTTCTACGATTTTTCATATCTTCTACATTTTCAAGTTTTTGAACAAATTCTACAACTATTAAAATGCCTCCAAGAGGGAAAAGAGCTAATAAATCAGATGCGAATGAGGAGGTTGAAGCAGAAGAGGATTATATTTCAGCGGTGCAAGTAACAGAGATGTTGAGTCAGCAGAAGCAGATGTACACCGCACTGTTGAGCCAACAACAAGACAACTTCAAAGGTTTTGTGCAACTACTTATGGAGACAAATAACAAGAGACTCGACGACATCACCAGAGAAATACAGGAGATAAAAACCAGTTTGCAGTTTACCCAACGATATGTGGATGTGATTAAAGCAGCCATGGGTGATAAGAAAATACAAACCAAGGAAACAAGGGATGATGTCTACAA